GGGGGGGGCAGGAGGGAGGGGTGAGTTCGCGAACCAAGGGCAGATGCAGAGTTCGTATAAGACGCATCTGGGCGCATAATTGGAGGGGGGGAGGGGGGCAAATGCTTAACACAAATGACCTCGGCTATGGCCAAAGTACACATTCTAACGTCTTTGGACCGGTTCAGGGGCGAGGGGGGCTGATAGATAATGAGGCATGCTTCTCTTGGGTTAACACGATGACCAGCGTCTACCAAGTGAGCGAGAATCGTACTTGTGATAGATCCGGAACCACCTCGACTCAGCCAGCGCGGATGGTGTTCTTTCATGCGGATGGTTAATTGTCGTACAGTACTACCGACGTAGAGTGCGTCACAAACGCATGTGAACGAGTGAACAATCATTGAATCGGTCAACATTGGTAGTTTATCTTAATTTCGTATGGTTATCAGTGGGGAACTTTTGAAAGCGCGGCGTTCAATGTGGCTTTTACCGCTCCATTCAGTCCCCTTCATATAAGCTGTAATGACATGACTATGAGTTATTGCAAACAATTGTTCGTCTGAAGTTGTGTTCTACCTTACCGTTTAGTCTGATGCGTACTAATACAAAAGGTGCGTGCATGCATCCATCCATCACTCAACCAATCACCAAGTCAGTATCATCCTACGGCGTCAGCAGATGAAGTAACCGTATAACATGCCAATATGCTGGAAAAGAGTGTCTGTTTCAATATTACCCATCCACAGTTTTATATGCGGGGCTACTGGGTGACTGTGGACACTTGCTTTGGATTATCATCGAACAAAGATGGCCATTTGGAACAATTCTCTCGCCAATCACAAAAGGTCTTCACATTCAAACAGAATCATTCAAAGACAGCTCGAGGTTGAAATCCCTATGGCGCATTCGTAAGCTCGTTGTTTCGAACGGGTTCTCCATATAAAGAATGGTAATGCTGTCCTGTTGGTGTACAAACTAAAATTTAAAAAAAATATTATCCAGTCCGTATTGAATTGTTTTGCATACTAAAATTTTGATAGAAAAACCATTTAACCTGCCCCGGATGATGAAGATGATAATGACGATGATATGGACACCACTATCACCTATCTAATAAACTCTGATATCCCGCTTTAAGACCAGTTCTGCCTAACAGCCTTAATTCCCATACCAAACAATATGATTATATTTCAAACAGTCATCATGTTGGTTTTGCAAGTGACGAACTGGACAGAGTAAACAATGTGCGTGTTGATCACTACAGAACTGTAACTTGTTGTCGCTGAGCGTTCAACTGACCGACTGACTGACTGACTGACTGACTGACTGACTGACTGACTGACTGACTGACTGACTGACTGACTGACATTTTCTGATATTCGAAAATTTCATTCCGTTTTACCGAAGACCTGTTGCAAGCCATAGAATGGATTACATGAAAACAATGAATTTTCTCTCACTGGTTCGTCTTTGGCGATAGATTCAACTTCTTACAGTCAACAGTCACCTAGTGTATGCCGATTTCAGTCAGTTGGAGTTGCATTAATTGTCAAAGTAAATCGCGCGTGATCTTGAAGAATCAGGATAGCATGCGAATATGGACGCTGCTACTAGAAAGAAAGTATTAACGGTGAACAACTCATTGATTGGAATAGTTACACTAGTTACACCTCGACGTAATGTCCACGTAACGAGCATTCGAGCTTCTTGCTTCCACGCACACGCAAGCAAAAACGATAGACACACAAAAAATAGCCTTATCTCACTGAACGAAATGTTGCTACACTTCCATGCCAGTCCGTAGATTTTGTCCCGGGAACTGTTGTGTATGTGATCAGGGTAATGTGGCACCACGCATCATCTACAGCCCAGAAGATGCTCGCTAATCGATGCTGTGAAATGCGGCTACGGATCGAATCGTGTACCCTCGATCTGCACCATTTTAACCCCGGGCAAGAAAACCAGCACAATGTAACAAGTTAGGTAGGGAGTTGGGTTTTGGGGTATACGCCTGCGTGTGTGCGGACCGGGGATCTGATGTCCCAAAGCTGGTGCATGCGCCGTCTGATGCTACTACTTGTACAAGAGATACCTTAATGACCAACGAACCGAGAAAGAGCACCTCATCCACTTGAACCACCCCGGGCTGTGTTTGCTTGCCTGTGTGCGTGCGTGCTTGCCTGCGCGGGTGTTTTCTGCGTGCACATTTTGAAGATGTGTGCGTGTGCGTTAAATCTTTTGCTTTTACACGAGGAGGGGGACAGAATCAGGTACAAGCCCAATATACCCTGACGGGATTGCTGGTTCACTTCATCGTCCCCAGTCGGTGTCATTTTCCACCGATCGATTCGACGTCTGCGATTGGTTCGGCACAATCCGGTTACTTCCACCCACCAGAATTCCGAGATTTAGTCCACCAATCGCTCGAAATGGCATCCGAAACGTATTGTTTGACTGCCATTTTACATATCGACCGTATTCTTGGTCAAACATTGGGTTTTAGTGGCCCGGTACTCGCGGTAGCAATTCAGACGTCGGCCCCGGACACCAGCGATCGGGTTTGGCACACCTCGGTTCTGGGCCGTGAACGGGGCGGCCTTATGTGAATCGGACATGGAGTTCAGCTTGAGACGAATGTTGTTTCAGACCCCGCTCAGATTCCGACCGATCATGATACAATTGCGATTCCTACTCTATTCCATTTTCATTCTTCTATGCACAACTCTCCCGTTCACAATTGTGCATGGTCAAAGCACAGTTACAGTACCGGCCAGAATCCATACGGAATGGAAAACGGAAAGTTCTTCAGGTGGTGAGTCTCGTTCATTCTGTTTTGTAAATACCTGTTTGTTCTAAAGGGATCAGGGGAAATTTAGGTGTTAGGTGTCAGTAGGATAGACCAGTTGAACACTGTTTGCTTTCTGTATGTTTCTTCCAGAAAACAGAAAGACAGGAAATATCACTTCTTCTTCTTTGGCCTAAAACCCTAGCAAGGTTATCCAGACAAATTGGGCGTCATTCGTATATTTTATGCCACCGCTGCTGCAAAAATTACTGATTTGTTTAGGTTGTCCTGATTTGGAAAAAAAAGTCGAGGAGGAGGTAAGACCAGACTGGTTTTGGAATTTCTCAACCAGGGGATTTGTTCTGGCTCCTCTTGTGAACAATTATTCCCTCAGAAGTGAACTATTCTGTACGGATTCACAACGGTCTGTTGGGCGAGTGTGCACCCATTGCATGTACATATCTAACCGGCATGAATGTTATGAATAGATCTGCTGACTCTGGCAACAGTCCCGTCCAGTGCCATTTCCTGTTTAGGGAGAATTTCTGTGTAATGCGTTGTATGCGTGTCACACGATTTCTCTTCGGGAATCACAGCCGGAAATCAATAAATGACGCGGGGACCGTAGCTCGTTCCGCCTCTGCAACACGGCCATTTCAAAATAGCCGCTTGTAACTGTCACACATTTGCGGTAGACTTCTTTACTACTACGAAAGTCATCGCTATTATTGCGGTTTTTGCATTGGTTTGAATGAGAAGTAGTGGCTTTGAGGCCATCTTGGTCTATTAAATTTCAACTCGGGCACGTTTGTGTAAGTGTGTGCGGTAGATAAAATAAGTCTTATGATTTCGGTTTCGAATATATATCTATTTTAATAGATATATATGAAAAAAATATGGTAACATTTACAAATCCTCGAAGCGTTTGCCAATTTCTGTTGCTTTATGTTTTTTTCTGGTTCATTTCTGAACATATGATTTGATCAATAGTGCTTGCTAAATTTAGAGTCCTCATGCATCGTCGAGTTTACATCTAACCGCGGTAATTCCTGGGCCTCTCTCTCTATGGTTCGTTGCATCGATATTGGAAAATCTCAATCCGTGCAATTAAACTAAAGAGCTTTTTGAATTACTCTGTATTTTGAATGAAAAGTGATCATTCTTCTTTCTCATGGTTGCCATAAAACCGATTTCGCTTGATTACTCATTTATAGGTTAATAGATACTTTCATACCATGAAGTCGCACGCTTTTTGAAAAAAAGCTGATCACAATCTCAATTGTTTCATCCCAATGTTTACCCTTGTCTATCGATCACAAACAGTGATTGATCTGTTGAGTGCAGTTTCCATCAGTTCCGCGGACCCGACAGAAGTAAGCCTTCAGCCCGGGTTCTGTGCCCCACCAGGCATTGTGGCCAACACAGCCTACTCCTATCATCGAGGAGGCAATTTGCGCGTTCCCGCTGAAAAAGTCTTCCCAGGTAAGTGGAGGGTCAACTGTGGGGAATTTCATTTTGTGAGAGTGTTCTAGCATTTTACGTACACAATTTCACGATCATGAATTGCTGTGGTTTCCTACTTCTGTTTGCAAGCTTTATATCTTCTTTCTGTGTGAGCAAACTAGTGGAAACGTTTGCGTGGCTTAGAAGGACGCCTTATCGGACAACTATAAGGTAGACGGGGTGATTTTACGCAAAATTTCTTACTAAGAATCGTTATAGTATTACAAGAATACAGTTTAGAATTTGGTACGGATTAAGAACGCAAACGGGAATCTGTGAACTTCTAAATGATCCCCAAATTCTCCATCACGACTAGGTCGTGCGAAGCACTTTGTTCATATAATGTCGGTTAGTCTGAGTGCTCAAACAATGCGATACGGACGATTTGTTTCAGTCCCTATTAGAAAACAAAATTGAATGATTTTGACAACCATACCGTTCGTGAAATCTGTAAGCTCTGCAATAATTAGGGAAATGTAGATCCTAGTAGTTAAATAGTGACAAAGTAGGCGCACTTTGTGCACAAGAATTTCATCCCCCATACCACCTCCACCACCGATGCGGAGAGTTTAACCCGAATAGCAAATTAATGTGGTATCGGGGCAATAGACAACATGTATCCCGGTGAAAGCACCTATCCGATCTAATTTTCCAGAAGATAGCGCAGAAGTAAGAGTATTCTCGACAGACAGAAGTACGATATAGCCTAATTGTGTCGATTACAACCGTTGAAATTGTTGTCAAAATTTGACGAGTATCAGTTTCGTTATCGCTAAATCCCGTAATGTATTCTCTTCCTGTGTCTGACTCCGTAATCCGATATCCCGAACTCGGGACCACTCGACGAATTATTACTATTGAATGTTTTATTTTTTCTATCGTATTTTCTTTCTCAACTAATCCGACTCCACAACATGTTTATTCTCTCCATTCTTTCACCACCCGACCCCGCACCTCGTCATGCACTTGTGTTACGCGTTCCAGATGATTTCACATCAGATTTCTCGATTCTGATCACAATGCGGCTGAAGCAACAACTCCGATCGGAACGGTTATTCGAACTGGTCGACTCGAACCAGAAGACCCGACTGGCCGTCGACGTCGGTCCGTCCATCAAACTCATCTACGGACTGGATGGATCGACACAAACACTCGAATTCCCAGCTCGACTGGTCACACACAGGTACGACAGGGATTGTGGAATTTCTTTTTTTTTCGCCTTGAAGTATCAACACTCGGCGATGTTGCCCAAGTCTGCCGGCAGACAAACAGTCATACAGTATGCTCAAAATGGTTTGTATCCTGTTTCCCAGCCATGGGTAACATCACGTACCACGGAAACTCTCAATTCACAGAACTAATCTCAGAATGTAGGAATAAACTGATAGCATAATGAGCTTTATAACCTCTTCTTGACTGATTGGTAGAAATACGAGAGATTTGATTTGTGGAAGGGGGTGCAGGATCATTTCAAACTAAGTCAATAATTAAATTTTATTTGACTCATGAGTGGACAGATGCATAAGACGTTTGTTAACATCTAGTGGGAACCGCATCTGCAAAGGATAAAACATCTGTGCTGTTACATTTCCACTCCACAGCCTAGAGATTCTTATTCATTTTACGCATTCAAGTCTCTTGATAAATTTCACAACAGTAAAAATAAGCAATATCACACAGCAGGTGATATTTGTATAATTATTTATTTGTCTAATCGCTCAAATTGCGCCGTGTAATTATGTCTGTATTGCTCTACTCTCGTTTAACGGAACAGGACACACGTGATCACAAAAGTCATGTCCGACACACATATCTGTATGTTTCTATTGCGACTGCCGTTTGTTTCCTGAGCAAATCATGTCATGTGACTACGCAGCTTGTAACAGGTCATTTGGGCACACAATCGATGGTAGGTTTGAAGGAATCTCCCTTTCTCGCTATCGGTCATAGATCAAGATGATCCATATCACCACGGGAGTAGAGAAAATCATTCAAACTATTAAAATTGTCCTGTAATGACATATACGAAACCCACACTGGTTAAACAGATTATGAAATATGCTGCTGCCTCACTGGATGACAGTTGAGATGCTCACATCTTTTTCTGTTTTTCATCTTCTCATGGCAATGAAACAAGTGTTCAGCTAGTGGTCATTGGTCCGTCCCTTTGGGAATGAGATGAAACCGGTTCGCGTGCCCAAACTCCATAAGTTGATGCACATTCCCAAGTAAATTGAACCTGTGTTTCCATTGGAATCCCTTTTGATGGAAGCTGCGGCGTGTGTAACTATGATACCAATTGCTCTGTGCGAATGACCGTGTGGTTTTCACAAACCAATTTTCTGTAATGTATAATATCTCAGCAGTTACTAGTAATATGAATTCACAATCAAGATAGTATTACCAAAGTAATTGTACCGCACCCATGGATATTAAAACCAGAGATCATTCTTAACAGATAGTTGAAATACTGGATAGCATGGTAAGTGGTAAATGGCCAATCGTTAGAACTATTGGATGAATCGAACATAGGCTGAGCAACTGTTGGAATATAACCAAAATTGATTGATTAAACCTTCGAAATATAAGACATGCAGGCTGAATAATCTACAGCCGTTATTACCAGAGTTCGGTTCATGAGTCACATAACTTTTTTCACTATAGCCGCTTCATTCAAAAAGCCAATCCGTGGAGAGCACCAAAAATGGTTTCACTGCTTGGCTAAGAAACAGTTATTCCTCCTCTTTGCGTTTCCAATCCGTCAATTGACACGATCACTTCCGTTATACTTTTTGCTTCGCTACTCAGATGGCATCGAATCGGGTTCAGCGTCAAAGGGGATTCGGTCACACTGCTCTTGGACTGCTCTGTACAACAGTCCATGGCTCTGAGGCGACCGTTAACAGGCCGAATGAACTGGGCTAATGGTACCTTGTATGTACTCCAAGATTCAACCGGAAAACCAGCCTTCACAGTGAGTTTTTACCACCGTTCCCATGTATTGTCTTCTTTATTCAGATTGTATGCCTTAGATGTCTGTCTGTCTGTCTTCGTTCCAATCACTTTCCATCTCTCCCCCCCCTTGTGGTTCCATTGTAGGGTGTGGTGGAACGACTTCTTATCATTCCCAGTCCGGAAGGTGCCTATGAGCATTGCTCGACCTATTCACCTTGTGATAAAATGATCAATATTGATGACTTGATGCAACTGGAAGAGGTGAGTGACCTTCATTGTGGAACTGAAATATTGACACACATGTAATCATGCTCATCTATTGGTAAAGAGAATCCAATCAAAGAGGGGTTCTCATTGGTGATTTGAGCTTTGCCCGGAATTTCGTGTGCCATTCTAACCTCGTCTATTTCTATTCCCATTCACAGGAGACTCAAGAAGTTCGGTATGCCAATTTTGTAAGTGATGCATTTTTCACATTTGACAAAATATACGCCCTTAATTTGATGTACATGTAGAAAAATAATCTTAGATTACCTGTGAATACTTTTACTTTGATAATTTGAATTTACTAAGGAATGAATTCAAAGTAATTGTAGCTAAATACCTATTTAATTCGCATAAATGGATTGTCTTAAGTTCTTTAAGGCTTTTACTCTCAATTTCTTTTCATTTTACATCTTCATCAGATTCATTTTGGAAAAGAGACTCCAATATCCCAGGAGACTAACCCCTTAGTTAGGCAAATAGAAGACCGAAGGTGTGGGTTACATGAGATTATTGTAGGACAGAAAATAGATAAATAAATGTTTTTTACTTTTTTATTTATTAACTATAACAATCTTCAGTACTCTTTTAAGAAGGGGGCTGCGACCACACAAAGGCTGTATGGGAAATTCCCAGAATAGGTAAGATAAACGTCGTTGGCGGGATCCAAACTCAAGACTTCCAGGTCACTAATTTGGTGACCCCCATCAAGTGAACACCGATACCAGGGATAGGCGCTTAATNNNTAATCATAAAATTTTGAAGCGGATAGACAGCGCGTTTCGAACCATGACGCATGAGACTGACAGCAACCATAACCAAAATCGTTATCTTGTATCCCTTTCTAATGATACGAACTATTACTGAAAATGACAGCTGGAAAAAAATCAGCCTAGTGGACGGAGAATAGAGTAATTTCTTCTCACTGATCATCAAATTCAGCAGCTTGTTAAATCTGTTCTTAGGAGCTAATGGTGACTATTTCATGTCGTTTTCAAATTTGCAATGAACATATCACTTTCTCTTGTCTACAGCCGACAAATGATAGACAAAAACAGCGGAACTTTATTTTGTTTTCAATGAACGTTGCGCAGTATTTTTGCATAAAGATTGAAGAAAATCAAAGGTTTTTTAACCCCCTCGGTGATTAAGAGGTCTGTACGATGTAAGTGGTTCTCAGAATCTCATATAGCCTTTCTCTCAATACCATTCTGCGAGAATCACTTCACTCTTGTTCCAATATGAGGTGACCAGTTGTAATCAGCGCAAATGAAGTGTCACTCTGTTAAGGTGCCCTTTCTCCGAAACTCTACAGATTACATTTTAAACTCTTACCTTTCTGATTTGGTAATTATTGTGTTCCAATTTCGGCATTCGGATGTAGTGTGACGTGTGAGCTGGTGTCCGCCTGCCTGCCTGCCTGCCTGCCTTTCTATAAATTGTTCGTTCCTACTTGTTCCCCGGTTTTTGAACCGGCTACATATTTACTGTTTACAATAAACTTTTTGCTTAATTCATTGTGTGCTCATTTACCTACTTAATTTGGAACAAAACAGTAATTCATTGTTTTCACCTTGTTTCTCTCTCTCTCGATCGATTGATTCGCTCCCGTGGCAGGGTCCTCCTGGAGAAAAAGGTGCAATGGGTGTGAAAGGAGAAAAAGGTCAACCGGTAAGGAATTTCATTGTCCGCTCTCCTCATCTTTACAAAACATTTTTTGTTCCGTATCTGACTCACCTCCGTCCAAGGACATTCTGGGGTAGTCAGAAAAAGCTCTCGGATTTAGCCTGATATGCCTGCTCGATAGATGATTCGATGGAATGGAAAACAGTGAAAAGTGGAGCGGGGCTCAATAAACCAACAGAACCTTCGTCGAAAAGAATGGGTGCAGAAGTTGTGCACCTCAGGATTGTGAAGATAGAACATCAAATGATAAGTTGGTTAATGCTGAACACAGCGGGTGGAATATGAAACTTTAAAGTTTGACCATGGTCTATTTAATAAAGCTAACGCTTATCATGTCCCGTTGGAATTTTACAGAATTTTTCGGACAACGCTAAAAATAGTAAATGGTAATAATAATAATAATAATATGCATGATCACTCACGGATGTCAAGTATTCCGATGGTTCATCGAGTTGCAATTTGAATAATTAAATTATAGGAGCACTCGCAATATAGGCTGGAATAGAATGTCACACCGCATACTCGGACTGCAAACAAGTAATGCCGGTAATCTAGGTGACTGTTCTGGGTCCTCAACATCAATGGATGTCCTCTGAGATGATTATTCTGGGATAAAGTCAACACAGAACAGCAAGGGTGATGCAGTATTTGGTGTGTCAAGATTAGATCACTCCCCCCTCCCCCTCCGGACGAGTAAAGCCCCAATATTTACAGTCTTTCAGAGTATATCTTGTTATCAATGTATTCTTATGGTTGAAACTGATGAAAATTTTCACAGTCCAATTTGTCGATTTATTCATCAATGTGCTTGAAAACGGAACTGATACCTTGGATCTGGATTTATTTTATTTAGTGCAGCGAGTAACCCATTGCAAATCCAACCGGAACGATTGACTGCTACTATTAGTTCAAAACAAAAGTGCATCAACTGGATTGACTACTATTTCGTCCCAGTATCCCATGCCCCAGATTCCGGCAACCGGTATGCAATAACTATGTCAGCAGATAGTCCCATCTGAATCAGTGCTATCGGGGGCGCGAAGCGGGGGAGTGAGGCTGATCAATCCATTTGGGGACATGTTTGGACAGAAGACTTTGATCGGTTCGGGGTGTGTAGTATGTGCACCTGTCTATGCACATCGTATTTCACTGGAACAGATAAAAAGAATTGAAGAAACAGCTTTCGTGTTTAGCAATAGCCACTGAGAGATAAAGGATAAAAGCATTTTCCGCGTGACTGCCAGGGTGTGAAACTAGCAAATTTGTGAAGATTTACGCCAGGAGAGAAATCCCGCGCGCCTGACACACGCTCGAAGCACTATCAACTGTTTGGATTTTGTGAATAGGGAGGAAATATCCAGATATATAGGTCAAAAAATGCATTATTCAATCGATAGTTTTCATTATAACTCAATTCTGTGAAGCTCTGAAGTGTTGCTGTTCCCGCCGAGACTCGGCAATGGATAAATATGTTCCGTCGTTTATAAATCCCATAATTAGACCCACTTCAGTAATAGATATTCAGAAGGCATGAAACTCCAAAGAATGTACGTTCCCATAGGTTATTACCAGTATCAATAAACCAATGAATATCGGCGGCGGTGGGGGGGGGGGTTCGCTTCAATCCCACCCGTGACAGGTTTTAATTGAATCCAATTGGATTGTGTGAAATCACCTCCAGTGGACCGTTTCACAATGTCAAACCACGGTACCAATTTGCAAGTGCAATTAGTTAGTCCATTGCTTAGAGAAATAAAGCGCAGTTGTTGGAAATTGGACAACTGATGGAATTTGATCATTTAGGAATAGAATGGATGAAGTGAAATCAAACTACTGCAGTCGCCTTGGAAAGACATACAGCTTACTCATGAAGAAAAACTTGATACTAACATTCTAGTATTGAATTGTCATCTAAATTCGTACATCAAAAAATTATTCTCTATTGTATTTTCAATGATTATCGGTTAGTAGTTATTTCATTCAATAGTCACACATTCCTTTGGTCCTTGATACCAAATAATGTGAAATATTCTGGCACTATCCCGGATGCGTATTCACAGTCTGACTGCATGAACAACGATTGTCCACTCAGCTGTTTGAGTCAATTTCTCCGGTTTCAGGGTCGTGATGGTCGCAACGGTATCCCCGGCAGTCCCGGTCTGCCCGGTGTAGCAAGTCACGTGCTACTGATGCCACTGCCCAGTTTCGGGAAAAATGAGATGTCCCGTATGGCCAGTTTCCGCTCGATGGTTCAACAGTCCGTGGTAAGTACCCCGAGGAGAGAACGAGGAGGATAGATATGCTCAACATCGGGTGGTGCTGTTAAGACAAAACATTGATCACCAATTTATCCTCTATCATTACCACTTTCTAGATTAGGAAAAATTGGAAATCTGGGACCTAATCTTGACTTGATAAAATTCCATCATATATTCATTGATCATTGAAAAAGATAGGTTTTCTTTTATCCTGTAGAGCTTTCTTTTCTGTGCTCAACAGTTGATGAGAATGAGCAGTTTTTTTTTAATTTCCATGAAAGATTATTATCAGTAGTATAGGATTCTTTTGAGCATCACCAAAGCAACCATGTTGTCAACGGAACGGAGGCTCTGGCCCATTTTCAGGGAATGAAGTACAAATTGGTGGTCGGAAACGCGTGCTAGATCTATACGACCTGTGGTATGAAGACCCATACTCTTGATGGTTTGGACCTTCTGGGGAAATCAAAAATCTCATAGCAACAGACTGAAGTCCTCTGGTCCGAAGGAACACCAGCGACGTCTAAATGACGAAGCATTCATCGTCTAATAGCCGATTCATTATGCTCTTTGGGATGTATTAAATGACCCTAGGACAACGCTTATCCATTCCGTCTATTACCCTAAAAGCACATTGTATGCTATGCTAGGTTCGTTTGTTTTCCTCCATAAAATTCGTTCATCGAATTTGCGTATTGAGCAGAGAAATCAAACCTGGCCAAGTTGGCTATCTGGTATATCCGTCTCCCACACGCGTTGGTCGCGACCGTTACCTGAGTATAGCACAACCAATAAGTTCTGTCGGAACGAATAGACTATTTCTGGCTTTAGTATCGCCACCGAAAACAAATGAGGCATACAAATGTGATGCAAAACTGAAAAGCCCAAATGAAATCAATGTACGGTAAATTGCTACAGCAAGAGCGGCTGAAAATCGATTGCAACAGATGAAACTTTTGCAATTTGGTAATAAAGTACACCATAATGCTTTTTTATTAATCTATTGTGTTTTTGTAGTTCATGAACACTTCTCTGATGTATAACAGATGAAAAAGTGGGGGTTATCAACTGTAATAAATGCACATTTGTAACGGTTCATGAAATGGTTCTGACATTTTATCCATTGATTCGCAATATCATTTTGCTGCTTCTTCTTTATCAAATAGATATAAACTCGATTTTCTAAAGTTTATAAATAACCGATACTTCGTATTTCTTCAACATTTAAGGATAAACTTTTTGGACGGGTATTATGTGAGGCATACGACTGAATCGAACAGTTATTCGCAGTCATTTATCCAAAAGCCCTTACAAACTAAATGTCTTTTATAAATGTATCTTTTGCACTCGTCCAACCGACTAAGACTGAATTGACAAACCCAATTTCTCCTCCACCCAATCCTCGCCATTCCAAAAGATGATGCTTAAAGGTGGTCGTGGTCAGCAAGGTATGACCGGACTCCCAGGCATTCAAGGGCCTCCCGGATTGGTCGGTGAAAAGGGTGACCAAGGAGTGATTGGTGATCCCGGATTCATGGGTCCCACCGGGTTACGTGGTCCACCTGGACCGAACGGACCTCGGGTAAGTTTTTGTGTCCATCAAAAGTGTAGTGTCTTTGTTCGCTTGGGTAGTATTTTAATCCTTTCTTCTAACAGAGTAAATGATATAAAGGACAGACTTTACTGACATGGTAACTTGTGTGAACTGTCCAATCCTTTTCACTCCCATCCATGTGCTTACCGTTCAGGGTCGACCGGGTGTTGATGGCGAAGTAGGCGCGAGCGGTTTACCCGGATCCAAAGGTCAACCAGGTATGCCCGGTCTGCCGGGCCTGCCTGGACCTAAAGGTCATAAAGGAGACGCCGGCCCACAAGGGGACAAGGGTGATATCGGACCTCGGGGACCACCGGGTCCACGAGGGCGAGCTGGTGAAGTTGGACCTCCCGGAGAGCCTGGACCAGCCGGTTTGCAGGTTAGTGATTTCTACCCGAAGTCAGGATAAAAATGCTTGCTCCTTTTTCGTGACAGCTTTCTATCATAGTGCGTTGATTACAGTAGCTTTAAGTATAGTGATTAAGAAGTATGGTATTGTGGGCCCTGGACTGATGGTGCACATGGTACTCCTAGTACACATCTGACGAGAACTGCAGAAAAACTGATCAATTTTGCTGTATTTTACAACAGTAATTAGAATCTTTCAATTAACTTCATTTTATTGATTAGGACGAAAATTTACTTGATAAATTTGTGCTTGGACTGAAGAGATTATTCTGTACGTCTTTCAACACAGTGCAGTTGGGCTTTGCAACGGTTTTCGGACGCACCCGTTGGTGTGGCATTTGTAATCACAGTCTACTAAATCCATTTTACCGTATTGTAGTGTCGCTTTTCTTTTTGCATGAAACCTCGCATTTCTATTGAGTTTGTTACAGTGAATGAGTTTGTTGTTGAACTAATATGAGTCGTTTATTCTCATCTTCAGATGAAGTAGTTAACTGTGAATCTATACTAGTTTTAATTGTACCGCTGTTGTTGTTTTTTTCTACTCCCATTTAGGGCCCCCTTGGTCCACCCGGACCAGCTGGTCTGCGAGGATTACCCGGTCGTATGGGACCAGCCGGAATGAAAGGTGAAGTAGGGGATATAGGCACTATGGGACCACCTGGACCACGAGGACCGGTTGGACCACCCGGTATTACTGGTCCGCAGGGTCCACGAGGTCTTACCGGTCAGCCGGGACCAAGAGGACCACCGGGAATTCGAGGCTTGCCGGGAAGTGCTGGACTTCCGGGTAATCCTGGACCTCAGGTATTAACAGTAGTTGGATAGGAATAACAAATATTTTTTATTTGTTCTATTTTGAAACTCCATTCTTCAGATATTCATTTACTGTTTGGATAATACTTCATTCATAAGACAGTTAGCATTATTTTCTGCCTTAGAAAAGACTGATCTTTTAAGAACCAGCGAAAGTCTGTTAGATACTATTTTAATGAAAACGACTGCCAGGGGAACGACGGTAGGGCGACGACACGACCGGGACAAGGGGTGGCTAAGAAACACTGGCATACAGGTCCTCCGTGGGTCGGGGTGAAGAAAAACCTTCAAGGCAAAGCAAATAAGACGTAATGAACCAAAAACGTTCCAGTGAGATACACGGACTCACGACAAAATAATACTGGCCCGGTTGCCCAGCGTTACACTATCCTATTTCTCGAGGACGACCGTTGCTGAAGCGTAGTTTGTTAAATAAAACTTAATAGAAATCAAAACTGCAATTGTTTTTTTCTGAAGTTATGTTTACTCCTTCATTGACAAAACCTATGTGATCTCTTCATCTAAGATGATTTACATTGAGTATACCAATTAAATTGCTGCTCAGTAAATTAAGCTATTGAAGACTCTGGACAGATAAAAGGGTAACTATCAACTAATCCATTGATATATGCTCTACACCCACAACTTCCAGACTGTGATTTGGGAAAATAAAAGAGAGACAGAGTGTTTTTATCAGTTTACTGGGAGGAGTGAAAATCTAGTAAATCGACTCAACTACTTTTGCTTGAGCGATGATATATTCTATCTTTGTGATTTGAACAGTGTTCATCGACTATTCTCCACGCAAAAACCCACAGATTACTTCTGAACAAATCATATTTCCCTGTAGGGTAGCGTTGGACCAAAAGGCGAACCGGGAGCCACAGGCCCTATCGGTGACAACGGCCCAATGGGTCCGGCAGGGTACAAGGGAGATCGTGGGCCACGTGGACCACCCGGTGCAAAAGGGGATCAAGGTAATCCCGGTAAAACCGGTGTTCGTGGAGACCGGGGAGAGAAAGGTTCCAAAGGCGAACGGGGCAACCCTGGAGCTCGTGGAAGTGACGGACCAATCGGTGTGAAGGGTGAACCTGGTATGGTTGGTGAACCAGGACCACGAGGTTTGGAAGGACCAAAAGTAAGTTACGGACAATAAATCCGGCAACATTCGTGCGATAGTATTTTGAACATATCAGTCACATGGTGGAAAAACGTATAGTCCCCCGATACATTCGCTTTTTTGGATTAAGTTTTATTCCCTCGTTCGCATTTGCCACTGTTTTTGATTCACAGCTTCAAGGTCACTCTGACCTGCAGCACAAACTGACCCAAGGCGCTGACAGAATATTTAGTCGCGGTTTCAGCGATTGTTTTCAAAGAAATGTCTCTGGTCCCAGTCACGTGGTTAGCAGTCACGATCACCGTTCTTGATCTGTCCGCTAGACATTATGGGAATGATGTCTTCGAACACAAACGACCAACCGTCTGGTCTAACGAGCATAGGTACATAAATATTTCTCTTGCGTATCAAAGTGAAAATGAATTTGCTAAGCCTCAACCAGATTGTTGCGCAATATCAACCAAGTGGTAACAAACTGAAAGCGCAAGTAAAATACATTCGACCATACTGGTACGTGCAAGGAAGCAAATCCGGATTAGTAGCACTGGTTCGAGGAATTAGGAGAAACTTAAATCTTTTTTACATTTATGAGAACCTTAAAGAATGGTATTATAAAGGAGAAGGAAAAATCATCCGTTTCAAATTCAATTTAGTAGCAAAGAATGATCTCAACAGCTCATACAAAGTAATTGCTCAATGAACAATATATTGAGGGTTACTAAGGTTATTGAAAGCTCAGATTCATGCGTATTTATCTTATTATTGTGAATGAATACCGTTAGATAGATAGATTCCAGAAACCGAATTTCCTGTGCTTATGTAAAAGCAAAAAAATAACAAAACTTGAAATGCAGACGGTGCAGATAAAAGGTGATGAACTACGGAGGCTATGGGACTACGGGTCGTGATTAAAGCATTGCGGATTTTGGCTCAAGAAATGTGACTCAAGCTAAAGGATTCCGATTCGAGGCCAAAGGATTACGGGTTTTGGTTAAACCTTGATAGGAAAAGGTGTGCAATTGCAATGGGTCCGTAGACTGTTCTACAGACAGTCTACAAACCCCAACGTCTGCCGAGTTATGAGCTGATTGCTATACTACCGAGAAATTTAAACATGATTCGATTTAATTTTATCTACGTAGAAGACAGTGGTTCTGTTGTCCCCCCCCCCGATTGGAGAACGCTTACCATTCTATGGGTCTTTTTGTAATATTTTTCGAGTCTCGTAATTTTTTCTATTTTCTCAGCTTCGTATTTGAATCCTGATATTATATACGAATAAAAGCTTCACACTTACTTTATAAATACACATTTAAAATTCCACTTGTTTTTATTCTCCTCTTAAAATAGGGTAATCAAGGTCCTCGTGGTGCAGCCGGTTACCAAGGTGCACAAGGTCCGAAAGGATCTGTCGGTCCAGTCGGACCAATCGGACGTCACGGAGAGAAAGGTGACCCAGGAATGCCCGGTCCTCTTGGATTGCGTGGACCTATCGGTCCGCCTGGAGCTCCTGGTCCACGTGGTGCACCAGGTCAGTCAGGCCCGGCCGGTCAGAAAGGAGATGATGGTCCGGTTGGACCAACAGGACCACCAGGACCAGCAGGACCTCAGGGTATTCGCGGATTGGATGGATTTATCGGAGGACCTGGTCCGATTGTAAGTTGGCATCTTCCAAATTCTTTGCTGAGGAATGTGGTTTAATAGTAGTAATAAGTGTATTACTTATAATGTTAATAATATTTAACACCCAGATCCTTTACAGCATGAAAGTTGAAACTGTGGACTAGTGGCGGGAAAAACGGG